TTACTGCAAAAGAAAAACCAAAGGTAAAGTTTCCTATGCACGATAACAATTTCCTTGCAGTCCCAGAAAGACTCAGCATATATCATGGACAAAAGCAAATATGTTATGAAATAATGGCTAATTATGATTCTCTGTGCCACAGATGGTTTTCCACTGCCACTTGAGCCTACATCAAGTCTGTCCCCCATGGCAACAAGAAAAAAAAGGGGAAGGGAGGGTGCAATGCAAGAATTCCAAGATTAATCATGGAAAGTAAACTGCTATCTCTGTAACAATAACAATGTGGAGGTGTTGTTTCTTTATTTAATAGACAAAAGGGAGAAAATAAATGTTAAAAAAATGTAAAGTTGAATCCCCCCCCCAAAAAAAATTGAGGGATATAGAAGTAGAAATGCAAAAGAAGGTAGAATAAAGAAAAAAAAGATAAAATATGAAAGCTCTTCCAGGGATCAGCATTTTCCGTAATCTTAAGAAGCAGTCCTTCAAACATATAAAGACAATTTGCTGCAAGAGCAGAAAAACATTGGTATCAGGAATTTGGAATGAAGGATAAAGTGTATATAAACTCATGGTTTCTGACTTCAGTGGTGGGTCCTCAGTGCCTCAGTGTCATTCAACAATCATTTTTCGTATACCAAGATCAGTGGTTTTCATAAGCATTAGCCAGGGAGCTTTCGAAAATATTCATGCATAGATCCCACCCTTGGATATTTTGATAAAATTGGTCCAAGTGTAGCACAGAGAATGAAATTTTTTAAAGGTCTCCAAATAATTCTGATGGGTACCTAAGGCTGAGAATCATTATTTGATTACAATCTATGGGTCAGCAATCTTTCTGGAAAGGAAAGGGACAAGTTATTTGGTAAATAATTTAGGCTTTGTGGGCCATAAGGCCTCTTGCGACTATGCAGCTCTGCTGTTGCCATGCAAAAGCAGCCACAGACAATAAGTAAATGAATGGGTCTGGCTACGTTCCAATAAAACTTTATTTTCATAAACAGGTAGTGGGTTTGATTTCACCCATGGCCTTAGCTTACCTACTCCTGTTTATTAGACTGTTTACATTCCCCTTGCCCAAAACAGTTGTTCCCATCCTTCTTTACCTCTGGCTTTCAGTAGATGACCTCTTATTCTACTTTAATGGAAAAATGCAGATCGTCTGGTAGAAAATTCTTCTACTTCCTGGTCTATTACTTGCAGACTCAATAAACCTGTGTCTGTATCTGTCCGCATCTCTTTGCCCCCATTAGAGATTCAGTGTCCCTTCTTTTCAAGATGAATCTAATTCTTTCACTTATTCCATCACCCTTTCATCTCTTCTGTAGCTCCACTCCATAAAGAATACCATTTCTTATGTGTTTAATCCTCTCTTTCTATTTGTTCCTTACATTTGCTTAACAAATATGTTCAAGTGACATCCTTAACCAGAGAACCCTCAAAGTCTTCCTCAACCCTGTGTTCTTCCCTAAATGCAACCCACCTCTGCCTTCCCTTAGAAATTCTCTACCTGTACCCTCTACTTCCTCTCCTCCCATTCACTCTTCAAGCCACTAAAATCTGGCTTCTGTTCCCAATATTCCACTGAAACTGCTTTTGTTAAGATCACCCACAACCTTCATAGGAAGCATTTCACATTGCTGACTCTCCTTAAAACTCTTTCCACATTTAGCTTTTGCGATACCATTATATCTGCCATAGTTAGTTATTCTTCCTCTGCTGGTCACTTCCAAGCTGTTATTCTCTAATATTATTTGCCAAGCTCTCTCCTCTTCTTATGCTACACATTCTCACACCTATTTCCATGGCATTGACTGCTACGTAAATGTGATAAGTCCCAAGTTTTATTTCTAGTTCATGTCCCTTTCTCAAGTGCTAGGTCTATATTTTCAAATAGCCCTTGAAAGCTATACTCAGGTATCTTCCTCAAATCTCCTTTTTCCCTTTATTCCCATTTGGTTAACAGTTTCACCATCAGCCCAAATGTCAGAGGCACAATTCTCCCTCTTCTTCATGACCCTTGAAAATCCGCTGAGCACTACTGTGAAGATTTTTTTTTAAATCTCTACCTGAAGACACCTCATTCTCATCTGTTCAGTGAATGGCAGTGGTACATGTTTATCCAAATATGGTAGTTCTGCTTTCCTTCCAAATTCAATCAATCACCAAATCCTGATGATTCTACCTCTAAAGTATTTCAGCAATCCATCTCCTTTTAGCCATTCCCACTGCAACTACTTTTTAGGCAGACTGTAGTCATCCCTCATGAAGATTATTTGCAGTAACTTCCTAATTTTTTTAACTTGCCCACATCAGTAGCCCCTTACTTCCTTTTCTTACTTTTGCTTTCTCTTTAGGTCATTGTCCTGTTCTATTTTCACTTTGCTAAGAGGTACTTTGCAAAATTGCATACAGTATTTCTGTAGTAGAAGTGCCATGGTTTTATGAGAGAGAAGAGTGATCCTTCCTCTTTGGTTGCTGTCTCTTTTTGATGATACATGATATTTCATTGAGCTTTTGGTCTCAGCAATATAAGTTGCTGAAGTCATTAGGATAGAGCTCCATCCTAAACAGAGTCTAGACACCACTCTTTAAATAAGATGACAACAAAATGAAGTGCCCAGTGAGTATTGTGATCAACTTGGTGAAGGGATACCCAGCCACAATCAACAAGGTGTAACTGGAAGAACTGGAAGATAAATTCTAAAGAGGATTCTGATTTATTTCCTGGAGAAGACTAATTTGGATATTTGTTCTCTATATGAACTCCAGGACCATCAATCAGGCATATTTCCTCCTTAACAAAAACAGAGTTCCTTTTCTCTAATAGGAAATATTTACTTAAGGTTTCTTTTTTCTTAATAGGAAACACATATGAGGTGTTCCACATTTGGGTGTATACTGGCCCATCCATCATGGAAAGGAAGTTCACTATTAGTCCTCATTTCTTTGGGAAGCCTTTCTTAGAAATGAGCTCACGTTGACATTTACCAGTTTGCTGAAATAATTGTTAATTTGAATGGTAGGCTATGCATTTTCAATATTGATTCCTTAAGTGTAATGCTGAATGCCTAATTTTCTTGAGGGGGGGGCACCTGACATATAAGCCAAGTTAAATAATTTTCCATATTATTACTTAAATATTATTTCCAAAGTGCATTCTTCAATTGTGTTGCTGTAAAATTTATTATTTCATGGTGATTACAAGCCAGTGAAATTCTGGATGATTTACCAGTAATTATTTCATATGATATCTGTCATGTGCTTCCTCAAAAGTATGCCCAGTATATTCTATTTCCTTATCATGCCTTCACAATATTTTCAGAAAGCATCTATTTTATTAAAAAACCTACCGTTGTATCTGGTCCTGTTGAGGCCGTCTGTTGATCTAAAGGAAATTACTTAAAATCCTTCATTATTAAATTATCTTATCTTAGTACACAAATCTAAAATAAAATCCCCTTTCCTATCTTTTATAATAGCACTCTAGTAATAAAGTTACATATTTCATGAACTTTGCCATAAAATCACATTTTTCATTTAGTAAAAAGAGCAAAGCCCCTATATTTATTAAACAATCACACTTATGAAATTGTCTGATAGGAATACTCATAGTGACCAGGGTTTGAGGTATATGCTGATCATAATCTTTTTTTCATAATTTTTATCATAATAGGAAACAGACTACCTGATTTACCAAATAAACAGGCCCTCTGTGGCCTTACTCTTCTCCCACCTCTTTCCCATCTTGGCCTCTGCAAAACAGGGCTATGATATGGTTTCCACCATATCTGCCAAGAATCTTCCTGCACACCTGGCTTTGAAAGAAATTCAGGAAACAAGCGAGCAGGAGTGGTAAAAGGTAGTGTCTCACTTGCAGTTTGAGGAACAGATTTCTATAGTCATACTAACAACCTTCTTTAAGACTTGCTGGTAAGAAGTTCAACAAGCAATTTTCTCCATTTTAAACATTCTTTTCCTTTATTAAAATACATGAATTCAAAACAAAGATTAAAAAATATTCATGTATTAGACTGAGCACGGTGGCTCATGCCTCTAATCCTGGCACTTTGGGAGGCTGTGGCAGTGGATCACTTGAGACCAGGAGTTCGAGATAAGCCTGGTCAGCGTGGCAAAACCCCATCTCTGCTAAAAAGATGGAGTGTTACCACTGCACTCCAGCCTGGACCACAGAGCAAGACTCTATCCCAAAAAAATTAAATTAAATTAAATTAAAAATTCATATATCAAATAGTCTCCTATGTGAAACTATACTACCAATAAAAATAAAATCCTAAGCCTAATACTGTACCATTTTGCTTATATCTAAATGCTAATATTTTTTAAAGTTTAATTTGGCTCCATATTACATATTGAATCATAGTCTATATTGTTTATGCATTCATCTGTAAAACGTTCCATTTTTCATTCTGTTCATTCCAAAGTTACAAGAAAAAGACAAGCAAGAATTTTTGTAGGAAAGGAAAGGTTAAATTGTGCTTATATTTAAAGGAGAAGCAATCAGGAATCCTGTTCTAATCAAACTGAGGATAAGAAATAGAATTCTATTCTAGAAAAACCCTTCTAAAACTGATTTTCATGTCCTCGAGTTGATCTCAGGCAGAGAGCTCATTATTTTCTCTAGGAGTAAACCTGGATAAATATACGTTGAATTGAGTTAAAGAAATGACTTTGCTTCCCACAGCTGCAAAGCAAGGCAGCAAGACAGACCATTATATGCTACATAAAATGACCCAAATGACACTGTATTAAAAAATGTTCAGTGAATCTTTGATTATATACTAAAATGCTTGCTTCAGATGATTGATTAGTAATAGATATATTTTTCACAGAAAGTTAATCTGTCCTTTCAACTGAATACTTCCATCAACATTCTTCCTCTCATCACAGAAATCTGTAATGATAACACATATAAAACACATTTTCTTTCATATCAGATGAAAAGTATAATAGTCAAAACATGCATATAGTCAAAGGCTTACCGAGGTGTACAAGTATCCCTCACTGTTCATTGCCAAGTACAGCTTGGTTTGAACTCCTTGGATAGCCACCACTCGCAGACCCACAGGGATGAGGTTAAACAGAGCTGAAATTAAAAAAAGAACATGAAAATGATGTTTCAATTGTGAAATTCATAACTTTTCAATGTTTCCAGCAGGACTGTCTGGTCCTCCAAAAGTAGTGTGTGGTTGCTGAGGATATGCGTATACATCTCTTTATGTATACAAATACACACCTATACACCTACACACACACACACACACACACACACACACACACACATATCAAGGCAGATAGATAGGATCTCATCCTACTTTTTAGTGTATTTAATTTCATGGTTGCAGCCAGATAACTGGAACTGTAACTACATATTATCTAACAGCCTGGAGAAAATAGAAGGTTTTGGTCACAATTCCGTAGTTTTTACAGAGTTGAAGATGGGAAATCTTGATGATTCTCGAAAGATATAGTCCCAAGAATTGTTCTGTACATTAAATAGTGTCGTCCTCAACAAATTAAGGTTTTAAACCGCTCCCCAACATAACAGCTGAAATTCTCACAGTCATATTTAAAATCTACCTGTTGGGGAGAGTCCTAGACTTTTAGAAGAGTCCAATGCCCTCATCTAAATTATTTGTTATTCCTTATACAAAAACTCCAAAATAAATCTAGGTCTTGTAAAAAGAAAATGTTATTTTGTAGTTCTATGTTTAAGAGTAGTATTTCTTAAAGGACCAACATTTTCCAAGATAAGAGTTGAGAGAGCTCCTAGCTCTTAGTCTGCAAGAGCAAAGGACATAGGAATAAAAATAATGAACTTGAAAGACGTGTATTTTATTATTTTATTATTAATTTAGCAAAATAGTTGCAAATGGGCAGCCAGTTGGTGCCAGTGAGGACTTCATTTCTCCATTTGAAGATTTGACTGCGTGAAACTTACACCCAGGCTTTCCTCACAACCACACACCACTCACTGGAGACAACTAGTGGGTGTCCTCCCACAACCAGCTGTCTACTCCCTCCCACACTCCGAATAAAAATAAAACAGTACATTTTTGAAACGTAGTGCTTGCCACACACATCTTTTTAAAATAGCCTGTGCACCTTTCTCTCAGGAGTCGTAGAGCAATGTTGATGATTTTTGCCTTGTTTTGTAAGTTTATTGAGAATGATAAATCAGTCTGTTATGGTTTCTGTGTACAAGAATGTAAAGGAGTCACCCTGTGGGTAAGAATAGTTTTTCCGGGATCGCTTATCACTGTGCATATATATTCTCCTGCAGTAGGTGGGGTAATATGGATGAGAAATACTAATGAAGAACTAAATATTCCTTGGTGAGCCTACAATGTATCATTCCTTTAAAACCAGGGTGTTACCAAAGAGGAGCTAGGACATATTGTACAGTTCAAAAGACAAGTGTTCCTACCACATGCCACTGATGGCACTACATTCAATACTCATCAAATTAAAAGCTGTGCCCTTCTGTTATGCGAGGTAAAGGAAAGTAATTGCACAGATTGCAAGCCAAGATCTCATGCTATATTTGACAATGCAATGCACAGGCAAGAAGTCTGCCATCTCTGAGTATGTCATGTGTATGTCATATCCCTTTCTGTTGACGATGTCTTGTTCCCAGCAGGTGTTCAACACCCATTTGTGGATTGATAGAAATCTGTATAGTGAAAATATCATACTATGTTTTTTAAAAGTAAGAGATCACAATGCCATTTACATAAAATCTCATAGTTGAAAAAAATCTGAGATCTAAAAAACTAGACCAAAACTTCCATATGGGGTTGGTTCAAAAGCCATATCACTACATATCACTTGACAACTATATTATCAGTATATGTTTGAAACCTAGTTTAGTCATAATAATAAATGAGAGAATAATTATTTATAGAACTTCATGTATTTTAATAATATTCTGAACTTTCTTAGTTCTCTTAATGCAGCTTATAACAAGCAGAAGAAAGAGAGAGAGGAAAAAAAACTGACTTGATTTTCACCTTGTTCTCCAATCACTCTCTGACTCAGGTTTTAATGAGCAATGAAATGTCTAAATTTCAAACATCAGACAACAGAAGGAGGAAAAGAAGCAAAAAACATCAGCAATCAATTCCTGTGATTATTTAATCTAGAATAATGGTATTAACTATATAGCAGTACTATGTATTTTTCAGTAAGTACTATAAATTTCTATGAAGGCTGAATAAAAAACAAAAATCATCACCCAAAAATAAAAACTTGACAAGAGTAGCAAATCTAGAGACTGACTGATAATACTACTGTGATCTTTTCATTTCTTTTAACATTCAATATAGATCATAAACTGGGTTGGTTTCAAATATGTCTAAAGGGACAGTCTGCCCAGATAAAAATGCAAAGAAATTATATCAGATGTGAGCTTAAACCAAATACATATCTTCCTATGTGCTTTTGTTTCTCTATATCTGGTATCTTTCCTCATGGATTTAAGATATTATTTTGATCAGGGTAAAAATATTATAAATATGAGAAGAAAACAATTGTCTTCATTTATGTATTTAAAACACATTCATTAAATACCTAAAAATCTTCCATTTCAGTGAAAATTTTGAAGAAGCTTTTAAAACATAGAAATGCCTGTTTCTTGTTTGTTCTCTGTTGTGCCTGCATCAAACACCTTCTACTCTGAAGGGCACTTCCTCAGAGCCCTTCACCTAGTTGGCACTCAGTGTTTGCTGAAGGCAACACTGAAGCCATGCTTCTTCATCAGTTGGGCTAAGGTCAATTTCTCAAAAGAGAATAATTAATAAAAGTATATATTAATGTAGATTGAAAAGGCATCATGTTGAACTGATAATGCTACTGCCAGTTTGAAGAGAAAGAAATCTAGTCTTTTACAATGTGCTTCCTTACACCCAAGATAGATATAATAAAACCACTGCCATAAAATGTCTATCATCTTTTCCTTTTCAAGGGAAAATACAGAATTCATAGTGGCTGATTTCCTCATGATGAGATTTTATTGAATGACATTTATCACTGTAATAAATCTACATAAGATAAGGTTAAATGTATATCAAACATATGTTTTCGAAAAATGGATATATCTGGATAAATGTGATCTGATTTATGATGACATTGTTTACCATGTCAGAATAAAAATATTCAATTCAAATTAAACTAAATGAGAAAATATGCTGAAAATAATAAAAGCTAATAAAAATAAGAAAAGAAAAATATAGACAAAGTACCGGGAATACATATTAAGGAAATAACATGTATATGAGAGACAGTTGAAAAAGACAACTTTTATTCTTGTTTTACACATTTAAAATAATTAAACAATACCAATAAAATGGCTTGGTTTTAAAGAACAAAGAATAAATTCAGATGGCTGGTCTTCATGATATATCAGTTTAATCATTAAACCTCCTTGTTTCGTGATGGCTTATGCCCCATAATATCCTCAGTGGCAAAGCTAAGCTAACTCACTAGCTCCTGGTGACTCTCAGCATCAGAAGCAGATCCAAGCTCTACTGACTTGCTAATTCTACCAAAATACTTTCCACGTGTATGTATCATGTTATGACAATACTTACCTTTATTTGACTTACCTCTCTATTGGAATCTGGCTAAGTACAGATTCCTGTCATCAGGCTGTGTTCTTTAATGGTCTTTTAATATCATCAGTAGTACACAGAAATGCCATGTATATCAGTCAGAGTTATAAGACAACCAAAAGCAGAAGCTAAGCATGTGTAGGAACTATATAGTAAAACCTACTATATGATTTAAAGCTCTACAGTAAGAAATGGAACCTTGATATATGTGTGTGTGTGTTGTGTATCTCCTAAAATGAATACGTAGAGTGTGATCTCGATGAATTTGGTATATTGCTGTTAATAGGGCACAGCACATGAATTATCTAGTATTTTTGCTTTCTTTTCAAGAAACACATGTGAACGCCAGACCCAAAATATTTCTTCTCTGATTTAACATTTTCAGAAATGTTAAAAATGGGAGAGAAACTTGATTGAATAGGCTTACTGGTAGCTAATCATGTACTTCCCTTCAACAATGCCCAATAGACCCATTTTCCTGAGGCACTTTGGAAAGCAAACCAGCTTACAACCCCTAATTCCTCCCCCAAATATCAATTTGCACAACAATTTATGGGAATGTGTGATTGCAGATGATCACCATGCACTAATGTCTGTTATTTGATTACAGTAAAGCCCTGTAGTTACACTTGCCTAATTGTTTCAAATAGAGGAATAAGCATAAAAGAACAACTAGAATTCAATATAAAATTTTAATATCACAACAGTGACAGAACTTTTGCAAAACAGTGAAGGTTTTTCATCCTCTATACCAACAGAGCTTTCTTTGGTGGTAATTAAAAGTGACTTCCTCTTGAGATTATACCTTGGCCATCAGTCCAGGAAGTACTCCTAAAAGGTGGGAAACTTTTTACACTTAACATTGAGACCCTCATCAATGGCACTGCTGTAGCCATACATGTCTTAAAAAGCTGCAGAGTATACTGCTTACCATTCAGACCTACTTTCCTTGACTATATTCTCAGTGACAATGGGAGCATAAATGGGAGATTATCAAAGGGTGTGAGAGAAATTCAGCAGAAATTGAAGAATCAAAAAATCGTGAGAATTAAGTGCTCTAGCCTTATGAAACATTTATTAAGTCTCCAGAAATGTGTAAATTGCAAGAAAACAACAATTATCATTGAAGAAAAGCCTGCACTATTTGTAAGTTTATATTTTTATTATTCCAAATAAATAAAACATGTAATTAAAGGTTATGTAACATCTTAGAATCACCTTCCTTCAATAATTAGAAATAAAACCTAATTATTTTTTATGTGTTTCTCTTTTAGGCTCACCATTATAGTCTCCAATTTGGTCTTAAACCATGGTTAAAAAGAAAGAACTAAAAGAAATTCCTTTACCCACCTGTGGAGGTATATCAATGTTAAAATCCCACTAGTCTCAGAGTTATCAGTGTGTGTGTGTGTGTGTGTGTGTGGAGCAGGGAGCAGAAGTGAAAGCCTGTAACGATGAATTTTCATGGTATGAAACCACTCCTCTCTCTTGGGTTAAGACCCGTTCTTAAGAGTGGAGATAACATGCTATTTCTGGATCAGTGTGTGGGTGGGTAAATTTTCTGTGGGAAAAAAAGTAATAAAATCCAAAGGAAAGCCATAAATCTACCTAGATTTCCATGGAGATGACATTTGGATTACTCTTCAGATGGTGTCAACATAATTCGCTTTAGTTTACTATCTTAGATAGATTCATATTCAACTTCCTTTAGGTTAATCTGTGTAAACAGGGTTATGTAGTGTGACTATATTTTACATTCAATTCAGGATTTAGGAAAGCGTATTTATTTTTGAAATAAATAAAAAGACCACAATGTCAACAATACGCTGGCATATACTATTTATTTTGCAGTTACTTACTGTAAGTGCTGTCCTCATCTTTGGTGCCATCAATGGTTCCATCCGCCTGCAGCTGCAAGTGGTAGCCTTGTCGGCTGTATAGCTTGGTAACTATACCCTTAAGCTGAGGCTCTGCAAAGAGAACAATGGTTTGGATCAATTGATAAATTGTGCCTATGTAGTTGAAAAGACTGGGAATTTCAATTTCTAATTTCATTTACAAATCTTAATGGAAAAGATTAAACTACGCTTTTAAAGTGTCTGGAAGAAAGAAAACAAACTCCAAGTTTCAGTATAAATATCCAAATTAAAGAAACATTTTATTTCTTCGTGGAAACATTTTATTTCTTCGTGGAAACATTGGGAAAGCTTCTGAAAGTGTCTATAGTTTCTGATAGTTTTACCAGTGGCTTACGGAGTGGAACTCTACATCATTGAGTATTTGAAAAGGGTTGGTAAATGGCTATTCTGCCTTTTGAAATTGTACCACTTTTCATAGGAAAGGAAAAAGAGAAATACAAAGATAATTCAGAGTTGTTTGCCAAACAACCAAGGACCAAAAACCTACTAGCAAAGATATTCTTCAGAATGACAATTTGAATAAATAATCCTTTATACTAAGAAGGTAGAAATTGCATAAATAACCTGGAACCTTATTAAGGAAACTGTATTTGGAAAATTGAGACTTTGATACCAAAAAAGGAGGAGGGAGATACAACAACCATTAGCAAATCCTGTCATATTAATTATCATTAGTGAAAATGTGTGTGAAAAGAGCAGGGCTTTTGTCGGTGGGGAGGAAAAAATCATTGCATACTAATTTTGAAATTTCATATCAAAAGTATGATTATGAAAAATATAAGTTCTTAATTAAAATGATTTTCAGTTATAAATCACCATAGATTAATCAAGTGTCTAGTTTACCAATAACAGCCATATTATCCGAAATTTGCTTTTACTGAATACAGACACCTGCGCTGAAATAGTACTTATGTGATTATTCGAGCCATATCAGCATGCTTTGCAACCACTTAAGCCTTTTTGAAACAAGTCTAATTTACAGTTAATGCATTAAAAACTTTGTGCAAACAGAAAACGTTATATCTGCTTTTTCATTCCAGGATGTGTAGCACACATAAATGGAAAAATAACAGATCAGTGAGTCTTTTTCTTGTGGGTAATATTTATCTAGTAAAAGGTAGAAAATATTGTAAAAGATTTATTTGGTTCAGAACAGCAAATAAACTGCATGCTCCCTTGAAGGTCTACCTTGACGCAACCTGACACCTAGAGCTGAATTTCCAGTCGCCGGAATATAGCGCTACTCTTACCACTGAAAATGTTCAAAAGAACCCACAATTTGGCTATGAGTTTAAATTCCCTCTTCCATCTCGCATTTTAGTAGCATGTAACCAATTATACTAGTCTAACCAAATTTCTAAGCTCTTTGCTGCAAGGTTCTAGAAATCCCCCCTCCCCCCGCCGCCCCAGCAAACATTTCGAAGCTGCACCACAAGTCAAGTCTGTCCCAAAATGCCTAAAAGTAATGAAAGAAACGCAATGCCTAGACAGCAGAAGCCCACATGCCTTGGAGGTGGAAGCTGGAGGGGAAGGGTCTGACAGGCAGAGATAAAAGCAAGAGAGGGATTCCCCAGGCTCTACTGGGGTGGGAGGATGTTGTCTGTCCAGCTCTGAGCCTGCAATTTCCACACCACACACATCATAGCCATGTCTGGGTCACGCCTGCTCAGAGCCCACCCGGCATGCACACATGTGACGTGTCCAAAGCTGAAGGCAAGTCTCCCAGGGTAGAATATGCACCCAGGTTCTGCGCCTGTCCCAGGGCAGTTGCAATGCAGCAAGCGTGTTACTGTTACGAAGGAGGCAAGAAAGCCATCGCCTTCCCACGCACGCACACAGGCTAGGTGGCTCTTCTGCACAAGATGGGCCACCGACAAACTCACCTATGCTACATATCTGTCCCCCATCGTCCCTACCACACTCATAAAGTATGGAGAAAAGAAAGCAAAAACCCCTTCCGACCTGGTCTTCTTCTGCGTCTCTTCTTGGAGCCGAAGAGTTTGACCCGGGAAAAGACATTTAACTTGTTTTTGTCGCAGCTGGTCTTGCCTTTGCTGGGGCTGCTGACACACTTGCAGGCATTGGATTTCTCGCGCTCGCGGGCTTGTCTCTTCTGACGGATGAGCGAGCTGGCGATAGCCGCCGCCATGGCCACGACGCCCACCACCACCGCTTCTTTTGCTGCCCCTCTCTGGGTTCACCTCCTCCTCCTTCTCCTCCGCTGCTCGTCCGCTGTCTCGCGACTTGGCCGCCTCGGTCTCCCTAGCTGGCGTTTGCCCGGGCTTCTCCGCACTCGGGCTTCAGCCAAGGAGGGGGCTCAGCATGCCGTCCGAGCTCCTCGGGCGGCGGTCCGGCTCCCGCGCGGGCTGCTGGCTGCCTGGGTCGGAGTCGACGCCACAGCCCCGGGCCGGGATCGCGGGCGAGACTGGCAGGCGGAGGCAAAGCTGCGCGACTGCCTGCGCTCGGCCCCTGCGCCCCGAGGACACTGTGCAAGTCCAAGTGGCTTGGGTCGGAGTTTCGCGGCACCCCCCGCCCTGTGCCGCGTGGAGGGGGCCAGAGGAGGGAGGCGGGCGGAGGGAGTGAGCGCGGGCGGGAGAGGCCGGGAGCTCAGCTCCCGCGGCCGGAGGGAGGAGGGAGGAGGCAGCGCGCGGGGGAGCGCGCCCTCACCCTGGCCCCTCCGAGTCTTCGACTAGTCCTTGCAACTTCTTGGCTTGATAATCGGGAAAAGTTGGCCCGTGCCAGCTTTCCGACGGGGATCAAACAGGTAATGGCCTCGCATCTTCGCTGTTGCTGTTGCTCTGGGCGCGGCACAGTCGCAGCACAGGAATTCAGCCGCCGCAGGCACCCTCCGGAACAGCGCGACAGCCTCACTGCAGCCCCCTCCGGCGACGGCCCCTCCCTCCCAGAGCAGAGTCCGCGGGCTCAGAGCCGCAGGCCGCCCCTCCCACCCACCCCCCAAGTCCCCGGCCGGCCGTTCCGGCTAACACCTGTAGGGGCTTTCGCTCTGCCCCATCTTCCAAATCCTTCTCCCCTCCTTTTCCCGAAAGGAGCTTCGGGAGGAAACAGTGATGGGGGAGGAACCGAGATGAGGTAGTTGGGCTGACGGAGCGGGGGTTCGCTCGGCATTGGGGGATGGCGCGGTGGGGGTGTTTCCTTAGTGTTTGAGCTGACCAGATAGTACTCGGGCTGGAGCCCCTAAGAAGTTCGCCAGATCCCTGCCTCTGGTTTGGACGCACCAGCCACCAGCAGAACCCTCACACACCCGCGCGGAGGTATTTTGCTTGGCGACACTTGTAGCCATTCAGGAGAGGAGGCCAGAGTCCCCAGAAACGTTCAGCCCCAGCGACAGCAGCAGAAGCCGGCACTGCAGAGCTGCGCCCGCACACCACGCTGCCACCCAGTGGTTTTTGCTGGCTTTTCATTTCAAGCCAATTTGTAGACTACAAAACCTGTTTTTCCTCTGCGCCCTCTTATCTGTTCGCTCGGATTTCGGATCCAAGCAGAGAGGTTGGGTCGTGTACCAGAAAGACTGCGTATTTCGGAAATGCAAAGTCGAACCTCTGTATTTAAGCTGTGGCCCATCTCTTATCTCCGAACATATTTTTTTCTACTCCTCCAAAGTCAGGCACTCTCCCTCCCTCTAGAGGAACTAGTCTGGCTTTTTGCTGGCCTCACTTTATTAACAAGTTCTGTCCTCTCCCTGTGTTATATTTTATTCTGGAGGGAAAGAAAGAAGAGTTTTTGAGGCCAGAAATGCAGCAAACAGAAATGGCCTATCTACATCCCTACCTTCAAACAGACAAAATTATTTGACTATTTTACTTGATTTCTGAGGCCAAATAGGAAGCAAACTAGAGCAGCTCTACTACCTGGAAGCCCTACACCATCTTTACTGGACTGCTACGTGGCAACCTTATCACCTCTTTTCAGAACTGATGTAAACGCAAAACCAGATGCTCAGCTTATCCCCAGACTCCAGCCCTTTTTTTCCTTCCTTGACCGCCCAACAAACAAGCTCAGACTCAGAAACCCTGAAATACTTTCAGGCTTCTTAGCCCATAAGAGCTGAATCACCTGACCGTTCTGTAGATTCCATTGCTTCACAGGGGAAACTTGCTATCTCACCTTCCACTTCTCCCCAATCTTGAAATGCCTCTTGCTTCATCAGAAGGACCACTGTGTGTCTGCAAGGCAGGCTGGAGTAAAGGTTGCAGTGAGTTGAGACTGATAGTTTCAGGAGAATGATGCTAAAGGGTCTGACATTTTCTACCTACTCTTTTGTACTTTTGGCTTTCCCAAATGAAAAAGGAGGAGAAGGTAGGCGAGAGTTTTAGCACTTCAAGTCTATTCAAGTATCCACTTCTTTAAACTTTGATTCATGGGGAAAAATAAATCTCTTATGAATGACCGATTTGTATTGATTCTGAAGAGTAGGAGGATATTTCTCAGTTCGGAATGTATATGATTGTTGTTTAATAATTTACAGATACCATTGAAGGAAAATATCTAACATATGGAGGGGTCAGGAGAAGCTTTGATCAGGGCCAAATATCTGGGGTGGGTGATGAACAGGTACAAGGTCTCCACTTACTCTCTGTATGCTTTTACCTTCTACTGAGCACCAACCCCAAGGGCCTTTTGTCCTACTCTTGGGACACTGACCCAGAGAAGGCATGCAAAAGCTAAAGAAAGATGAAGTTCTGAGTCAGGACTGGGATAGACCTTAGAAGGATAGATGGTACTGAGAAAATCATAAGGACTTTCCTACACCCCTTTTCCTCCACTTCTCTCAGATAGCTCTCACTCTTTGCTTTGGCAAACACCATTCATAGGGTATTTTCAGGATGCCTGTAGAATTATTGATGTGGCCACTCTCGGGTAGATATTAGAGGTAAACAGACTCAGAGAACACTTCAGGAAAAATAATAACAATGGCAGGGGTACTTATTACAAAGTTGAAAACACAAACTGTAAATACATCTTTTTGTTTCTAACTCCTGTCTAGCACCCACCTGAGCTCATGGAACTATTGAGCCAAAGATGATAACCACATGATTCTACACGTGTTTATAGATGTCTTCCTTGCTCTAATCCTTCTCTCCCTAATGAAATTGTATAATATTGAAAAATGAAGAGTATGGGGGAGGGGGAACCAGACTCTCCTTCTATCACACGTTCCTGCCAACCCACAAAAGGTATTTCTACCTTTTTATACCCTGCTCCCCTTGCATCTTTTGCCTTCATGAACAGGAAAATGCATGGCACATTATTAATGACACTGGAGAAGGGGGCATCTCTCTGTGATCTGTCTGCATACAGACCTCATTCCTTCTCCTCTGTCTTCCACTAAGAGAACTCACAAAGCCCTGTGACCAGAGGGTAAATTCAATCTGGGACAGAAAGTGAAAGAAAACCATTTTGAAATTGGGTCCAAATCACATTGTTCAATGAAATTAACCATTAATAAAGCAGATATTGGCCATGTGTGGCAGCTCACACCTGTAATATCAGAACTTTAGGAGGCTGAGGCGGGTGGAGCACCTGAGGTCAGGAGTTCGAGACCAGCTTGGCCAACATGGGGAAACCCTGTCTCTACTAAAATCAGAAAGTTAGCCAGGCATGGTGGTGTTTGCCTGTAGTCCCAGCTACTCAGGAGGCTAAGGCAGGAGAATCATTTGAACCTGGGAGGCAGAGATTGCAGTGAACTGAGATCATGCCACTGCACTCCAGCCTGGGCATCAAGAGTGAAATTCCATCTTAAAAAAAAACCCAAAAAAGAAAAAACCCCAAAAACAAACAAAAAAATGCAATATGTTTGTGTTTTTCTAATTCTTATGTCTCTTTCCTAGGTGTTTAAAAATTCATACAGGAGTGTGAATATTACTTTCAAATCTCTAACAGAAAACTGTGCCAAAGTTGCATACATCTCGAGAAGGTATAATGAAAGACAGAATTGCAGCCAATTCTAGAGAACACGTTTTTCTTTTTTCTTTCTTTTCTTTTTTTTTTTTTTGAGACGGAGTTTTGCTCTTGTTACCCAGGCTGGAGTGCAAGGGCATGATCTCGGCTCAACGCAACCTCCGCCTCCTGGGTTCAGGCAATTCTCCTGCCTCAGCCTCCCGAGTAGCTGGGACTACAGGCACGCGCCACCATGCCCAGCTACTTTTTTGTATTTTTAGTGCAGACGGGGTTTCACCATGCTGACCAGGATGGTCTCGATCTCTTGACCTCGTGATCCACCCGCCTTGGCCTCCCAAAGTGCTGGGATTACAGGCTTGAGCCACCGCGCCAGGCCGAGAAGCATATTTTTCTTTTCTTTGCTGCCCCACTGCCATCTTGGACTAATAGTATGACATTTGTGTAGGGGAAGTAGTAAAGAACTCTCTTTTATCACCTATTTCCAAATCCCTTTTTCTCCTGTTTTGATTTGTTCCTAGCAGTTCACATGGTGCCCTTACTATGGAACTTCCTGGATCTCCTCCATATTTGTAAATTTCAATTATCTCTGCTTAGCTAGCCCTGGTGGTTCAAACTCTTCTGTGCCCTATGGGACTGTTCTTTCTTTCTCCCAGTTCTCCTCTCTCCCATTGCATTGTCCACCAACCTCTCTTTTTGACCACATTCAGAAAGAAAGCATTCTTAGCTCCTTTTTCTAACTTAACTCCTGAAGAGTTCTAGCCTCACAGACTGGAAACATATGTTTTAATCCTATCTCTGCCACTAACTGACTGTGTTATCTTGAGTATGTCATGTCTCTATATTACAGACCTCAATTTTCCCATCTTTAAAGTAATGCTTAGACAAGATTGGCAGTCTTCACTTTGTATTCTTTAGCACTCTAAAAGTAATGAAAAGTAATAAAAGTTCCCTTGCCAATGTTTCAACAGTAGATTTAATCTATTTTAATTCTTTTCATTCAAGTGTTTAATTCAATTTCTGTTTTCATCTGTTTTATATAGTGGAGCTCATTGTATGATTTATTATGTAGAAAATAAAAATGAAAAGATTCTGGTAGTAAAAACAAAATGTTTGTTTATGTTCTTTTGTTCTCCAGATGACATGTTCTTTAAAGTCCTTTTGGCTCTGAAAGCCTATGATTATTTTTCCCATATGTCCTTGTTCCTACTTCTTTATCTTCCCCTCCTCATACTTCCCATCTCTCTGTTCTCTTCCCACCCCATGAGAACATAAATCCTAAATTGGATTCCAGGGAAAAATGCAAAAGTCCCTTTGATTCCACTCCTCGTGGGTTCACTTGAGAACTAGGTGCATTATTCTTTTCAGAGAGAGTTATGTGAGTTATCAGGGCATAGAATGCTGATCGTTCTCTGCCAGTCTCTTTTGGCAGGCCTCAGAGGAGCTGTAAGGAAGCTGAGGGGACCTGCTCTCAAGAGGCATCTCCGGGAGAGAGACAGAAACCCAAACAGATGTGACTGTGATGAGTCAAAATGAGAGAACTCTGACAGCCTAATCGGGAGCAGCCTCAGTCCCTTCAGAGAAGAAAGGAATTGGCTGTCTTTCTGAAACTCTGAAAATGAAAGATTTCAAACACCCTTCCTCCATGAAGATAAGCTCACTTAGAATCACTTGCCAGTTTGTTCTCCTTCTATGCTAACAGTTCAGCAAAAGTCTGAGTGGCAAGATACCAGGTCGAGGACTGATGATGAGCTCAAAGAGAGGAAACGTTGGCAGGTTCAAATGCACCAAGGTCAAGGAACACTGGGATCTCACCATTCACTAGCTAAGGCAGCAGAGAAGTATTTACCAGATGAGGTAGCCAAGTTCCACCTTTTGTGGTCTATCTAATTATGTACAAAGTCTCAGAGAAAGCACTGGATAGAAATACAAATGAGGAGAAAAGAGAAAAGCTAGCAGAGTAGGCTCTTGCCAGCCAGCTGCCAGCCAGGCACAGTGGCTCACACCTGTAATCCCAGCATTTTGGGAAGCTGAGGCAGAAGGATCCCTTGAGCCCAGGAGTTTCAGGCTGCAGCAAGCTATGATCCCACCACTTCATTCCATCCTGGGTGACAGAATAAGACCCTGCAAAGAAGAACAGCGAGAGAGAGAGAGAGAGAGAGAGAGA